GGGGTTCTTCCGGACCCCCCGAACCCCCCCTGCTGGCTACGGGCATGGAAAGCTTAAATTAGAGAGATGGGCACCATCTTGCAATACCGTGTCCTAGACACAAAGTATTGACAACAGCCCTCGAGACCTAGGGAGAAGGTGCTGCACTAATCGCCTCTATGGAGCTAGCTTGGGGGCGATCTGTACAGCTCCACGTACTCAGCCCCTATTGCCTTTGGGTAGGAAAAAGTAGAGGAGCACCAAAGCTGGGAAAAATTTAATCAATTTCACAATTATCAAGATTTGGAATTTCCTAATGCAACTTGACAAACCTTCCATCGAAAAACATATATCTGTTCCTTTAGATCTACTATAACTGAAAAGTGAGAAGTTGAATTTATGTAATGATAGCTAGTTTTATTTTGTATATATCTTTTAATCATGTTTTGTTTTGACCTGTATTTAGCCCAGTGTGGCAAAAATGTGCAATAAAGGTCGTCATTCATTCACTAATTCTTGTTAAGATTTGGAGGAAAACGGAAGTTTCCTTACATGGCATTCACTCACACACTTTCTGACCACGGGGATACTTTCTCACTAGTCCTGACCTACTCAATTTTTCTTGCCTCATTTCACTAACTCCTCATCCCGTGCGCTCACCCGCAGCCGACCCGTCAGCATCCGCCGGCTGTCCCCTGTCATCACACCGCACTCGTGATGTACTGCTTCACGGTCCTCCTCCAATTAACCCTGACGGAGTCGGACAAAAGCGCCCGGCGGTGACAGATAGCTGCGGGCCCCCGCATGGACCCAGGGCCAACCCCCGCGGAGAAACTGATTACTTCGAACAGCGTGTTCATTAAAGCCAGGATTAAACACATCATAAAAAGAGCCCGGGCTAATAAATACAAATATGATGATGGATATGTCTGGGCGAGGAGACCTTAAGAACGTTCCATGCTCAAGATGCTGGAACTGTAAATGAAGGGAACTAAAAGAACCATTTAAGAAGGAAAATAGCGAGATCGTGAAGTCTGAAATCAATTGATGAATCATTGCTCATCACTTTGATGGCATTTGTAGGTAGGTTATTCTTTTTGGAATGTTTACGTAACGATGTGAAACAATTTTAGTGCGTTTTATAAGGTATTCCATACCAATGTTGGAAATACTTTTCACCTTTGCATTGGAATGTAGGGGTTTCATGTATTAAAGGGTTCTGAAAACATGATCTAACTTCTTATTTGGCTGTCCACGATGATGCCAAAAAAGCGACTCCTTAATACTTAGTCCGAGACATTTGAACACTCTTGCATATGACATGTAGCTATTTAATGCCTCTGTAATGTTACCAGTTAGTAGAATATTCATCAATCAGTGACTGTTTCGAAAGGTAGCAAGCACATCGAAATTTTCTGACGTCCACTGAAAGTCTTGATCACGGAGTGACCTAGTCTCGCGAGAACACGAGACTAGGTCGAGACTTGTGTAGATCTATTGGCCTCCCCACCTCCTTGCGGAGCAGGGGTAAGTATTTTGATGGTAGTGTTACCATTTTTAATGACATGTTGTTCTTTGTTTAAAGTTAAAACTTTTGATCCAACACAAAGAAATCTCTCACCTAGAGCTTTCGACCAGTCACTCTGGTCTTCCTCAGTAGACTGACCCAGTGAAGCTTGTCACGTGGCTTCTTTGAAGTGTGACGTCAACACTGGGTCAAAAGTATCTGGTAGACATCAGGGCCCATCAACCTTCATTGAACCGCGACGGGGGCCGACATCGTCTACCAGATACCTTTGACCCAGTGTTGACGTCACACTTTAAAGAAGCCACGTGACAAGTTTTACTGGGTCAGTCTACTGAGGAAGACCAGAGTGACTGGTCGAAAGCTTTAGGTGAGAGAATTTTTTGTGTTGGATCAAAAGTCTTTACTTTAAACATGTAACTACCAACACAGATGAACTTTCATGATGTTGTTCTTTTATCGTTTTTTACAGTTGGACATCCCGTTGGTTGTACGGTTGGAGCCGGCATTCGGTCATCAGGCCCACGCCATCGTCACCCTACTGGAGCGGAACGTTCTGTACAGCTTCGCCGCCTTGGTCATCGGCCAGACCTCTATGGACTACGAGTTCATGGCCAAACTGGACAACCTCACATCCGGGGTACACTGGCAGGCCTCCAAGAAGATCTCTCTCGCGAGAGATGACGAGAATTTGAGTCGTCACCTGATGAACTTGAAGCAGAGTAACTGCAGGGCGTTTGTTCTACATGGGTCTCCTAGTGATGTCAGAAGGGTGTTTCGTGATGCTAAAACTCTGGGCCTCACAGGCTCCAACCATGCCTGGATCCTCACACAAGCTGCCGTCACCACATCCCAGCACGTACTGGAGGACTACCCCGTAGGAGCCGTTGCAGTGAGGTACAGCGACGACACCCTCACTGACAAAATCTACGATGGCACGTTTCTCCTAATGGACTCCTTCAATAAAGTCAATAGAGATTACAACGGGAACGGAGCTTTGCAGCGCAGGAAGAGCTGCCATAACGCTTCGGACAGCTACAAGTTCGGATCGGAGGATTTTTACAAGTAAGTGGTGTAGCCTTCTTTCTTATACTGAGTATTCACTAATAACGTATATGGCAACGATTGTCAAGTGGCTCTTACATACACGTTCTATAAGAGCCACTGGTCCATCGTTGACTGACAATAACGTTAGTCTACGTTTGTGATTTACGTAGAAGGTCTTTTTGAGTTGTCAATAATGTTTTGAATGTTGGTCTTGTGTTTCTAGAATGCGTTAGCTTCCAACCCTTCCAAAGATAATGCACTAAAAACCTCATTTATTGGTATATAAAACTATATAGTATCAAACGTCAGCATGTCTTGATTCTTAACCGTAGAATTGGCTTTGTAGCTAGGTCATTTAATCTAGCAGTTCTTTTGGCGGCAAAATCATGACGGTTTCTGACTGGGCCCAAGATCTAATCAGGTGACCCGTTCAGATCTTGTTCCCGGTGCAGTGATGGTTTTTCCTCCAAGGATCTCCTTGGCGATATTTTTTCATTGTAGTTTGCTCTGTAGTTCGCTTAGTAGGATTTTTTTCTCTCTTCTTTTTTTTTGCATGATGCAGATTGAGTTTTCCCAACTTAATCTTGTTCCCAGTAGCGGTAGATAATTCTTAGCATTAACATGTTTCTATCCCGGTGCGTTCTTCTGGATAATCAGGCCCCTGTCCTCTGCTAAAAGCAGGTACTGTATGGTTTTCAGTTGGCCGTTAGGTGTGTTCCTGTCTGTCTGCCCAGTCGACATTCGTAGCGACACGTTTGTTCACACCACAGTCTGTTACAAAGATCGAACTTTCACGATAAGGCCACACCAAGTAAATTTTATGGATGACGTCTTCCAGAGACTCCAAATCCAACGCGAGGCCGAAAAAACAAGATGCCTAGATTGAAATATACTAAGAAACGACAAATGTTTGGACACAAATTGAGTGCAACAACCAACAAGAATTCGGAGATCTCATACCTTCATGAAATATATGAGTTTTTCTAAATGTTTTTACACAGTACACTACAGTACAGAACAAAATAACACAGGTTTTTGGTTTCAAACACACAGTAGCACCTTTGGCCTGGGTATGGTCATGTAGGCTTTTCCCGAGGGAGAAACTCATTAATCAAACCGGGCAGGCGCTGCCACCCCACACATCTGTTTTCCATGCCACCCCGCACATCTGTTTTCCCGGAAGTTCTGCTGCAGTACCAAGGTCAGTCACCAGGAAGCCCATATTTGACCTTGACCTTTGGCTTTTTAAGACCTATCAGCATACCAAATATCATCACAATCCATGAAGGCGTTCTGAAGTTATGCTGACTACAAATGTGCGGAAACACACACACACACACACACACACATACACACACACAGACGCGCCAAAACCAATACCTCCATTTTTCATGGAGGTAACAGGTCTTTTATTCGTCATAAAAACAGCACTAAATCATGGAACAGCAGTTGTCGTCCTGTCATGTTTCTTTCTTTTAATCACATCTTCCCTTATCACTGTCGTGCATCTTTGGTCATAGTTACAGGAAGCGGAATTTTTTGGGTTTTTTTTGTGTGTGAACAGGCCAAAATCGGACGTCATCCATTAAAATTACTTGGTGTGGCCTAAGACGAAAAGTATCCAACGGAATGTCTGCAATTCCTCCTAGCGTTTGATATTTCAATTATGAATAGTTGTCTGCATACTTATTATTCCAAAACATTTGACTGTTTGACTGTTCAAAGAAGATGTTCAACTCAACAACGAGAATTCTACAGTATACTAGCTGTCTCGTTTGATTTCGCTGTCTGTCACTATATGTATACCCATCACTTGTAGTTAGGCTTTTAAAAGAAGATGGCATGAATTTGCAATAACTTGACAATACTTCACTACCATGGTCTGTGTATCTGAATATGAACAATATGCCTAAAATTGAACATTTTGGTTGGAACATGTATTGTATACTCTCTTCCTTCTACCTTCTATCTCGAGATTCAAATGGTTGGCCGCTATCTACATCTTCTAAACGTCCGTTGTCATATTATACTCCTGTCTTTGTAGAAATCGCCCCCCTCCCACCCCTGTCCTTCGTCTCATACGTGTAGACTAGATCGTCTGCTGTGAGCCATTCTAGCTCCTGGAGTCCTGTGCTCCATGTCGTCTGTTTCTCTGTGTTTCTATCTCTTACAAAGAGACCTGTTTTTTATGTGTGGGTGATCCAGACCGTATGGACTTTAGTGATGATATGTTGGCCAGTCTTTGATGAAGCGACATTGCCCTCTGTACATCACAAGTACCAATACACTCTAACATCAGTTAAAAGTCTTTGATGAAAGAGCAATGATGGTATTCTTAGAATCTGCACGTATTTACAGTTGAAGTGGTTTTGATAGAATCAGGCTTTCAAGAGCGCAATCTGTCCAACAACGATCAAATTTCCTGATTGACTACGATTATTATCAAAACGTCTTTGCCAGGAGCAATGATAGTTTTCTTAGAATCTGCACGTGTTTACGGTTTTGATAAAATCAGGCATCTGCCGAACAGTGATCAAATTTGCTGATTGACCAGGATATTTTCAAACAGCTAGCTACCTTGACGATCAATGCTTGACGATGAAGACAGCACAACCGGTTTACCCTCTCTTTGTTTTTCGTTACGAATGTAGACACGTGCTGAACACCAAGACGCGCAGCAGGGGCAGTCTGATCCAGTTTGATCAGAACGGGATGTCCACCCGAGCCACGTACGACCTGTTAGACCTGAAGAGAGAAGACGACGGCCACATGGTGTGGACCACCGTCGGACAATGGGACGACGGCACGCTTCGGCTCAAGTCGGGCGCCGGTGACAACCTGGTGCTGTTCGCCGGCAGCCTCGGGAAGAAGCGCATCGTCACGATCGCCGAGAAGCCGTTCACCTACGTCACGCCTCTCCTGGACTCCCAGCATCCCTGCAACTCTCGCGTGAAGTGCCTGATCCCCGTGGGCAACAGGACGACGCACAAGTTCACCATCGAGACGACGGACGACGACAACTTGTACCAGTACGACGACACCAACTCCACCTACATCATCAAGTGCTGTGAGGGGCTGGTGGTGGATCTCATGGAGGCCATCGCCACGGATCTGGGGTTAGAGTACGAGCTGTACCACGTAGCGGACTCCAAGTACGGGTCGAACGTGAACGGCACGTGGAACGGGATGGTGCGGGACTTGATGGACGGGAACGCCGAGATGGCCATCGGGCCGATCAGCGCCACCATGAACCGTTACGACGTCATTGACTTCACGGAGCCGTTCGCCCACTCCGGAATCGGCATCATCGTGGCTAAACGGACGGACAGTCCCCGGCTCACTTGGTTCCTAGGTACGTATGCACGAGTGTTTGTTTGTTTGTTTGTTTGTTTGTTTGTTTGTTACGCATAATCGGTAAACCGAGCTGCTTAAGACCAGACTGTTAGGTTTGAATACCATGAGGACCCCTACTCTTCTTTTCGAAGTGCGGTGGGTTCTTTAGCGTGCGTGGGGTGTCGCTCTCCCCAAACACGAGACCTCCATTTAACGTCCGGGGGACGTCCCTAACCTAAGCTGGGTATCCATTTATACCTGAGTGTGCCCAAAGGCACAAGATCAGGCACACAAGATCAAGCACACGTGCAGTGTACAAGGGCACAAGATCGGTGGCATGGGTGGGATTCGAACCCGGAACCTCTTGGTTCTGAACCGAACACGCTACAATTTACGCCACACGACCCCACAAAGTCATAAATTTTTTCGCTTCATGGCCCCTCGATTTTTGCTCAAACGCCTTGAACCCCCAGTCATACTACCGCCACGATAGTGCTTTCAGCACCAAGGACAGGGTAGTGTGGCCCGGAGAAGGGGGTGGCAACGGCCGGGCCCCGGCCGGGCTGTTTGAATGAACGGAAAATTTAGAATGCACATCAAAAATATACACAAATTCTAATTATCATATTATTATCTTTTAAACCTTTTCTGTGTTTTGTTGTCTTTTTTATCATACTGTTCGCCCGGAGAAAGGGGCGGCAACGTACGGCCGGGGCCCGAAAGGAAAATTTAAAATAAACACAAATTCTCCTTATCATACTATTATCTTTTAAACCCTTCTGTGTTTTTTCGTCTTTATATCATACTTTTCGTTCCCGCAAACTGCCCGGTCGGGCCCCGGCTTGGAAATGTGACCCTAGAATAACGAGACGCACTAGTCGGTAGGCGGTGTGCGCTCATGCGGTGGTGGTTGGTACCTTGACATTACTACCCAGATTACCGTATTGATCGAGGCTTCACCAAACGTTGCCCAGCTAACCTCAACGACCACCGCAGCTTTGGCAGCCTCCTGGCAACCATTAATTGGAGATAATGGTATCCGAAATCAATGCCTAACGTCTATTAACGGTTATTTCCACCAGAAACTTTGCGCTGGGACAACTGGCTGATGACCTTCGTGACCCTTCACTTCGTGGCTGTCGTCATCACCATCTTTGAGTGGTTTAGCCCGTACGGACTCCATCCTAGGGGAAGGGGCAGGAATTCAAACTTCGGCTTCCCGTCGGCCCTGGTCAACGTGTGGTCCATTCTCTTCTCCCACACCGTCTACACCAAACCACCAAAGAGCTGGAGCAGGTAGGGTAGGAAGTATTGTTTTGGATGGCTTAGCTAGGGGTTTGTGTGTGTATGTGTGTTCGTCCCATGACGGAGTAGGTTGACAGCACGTGGGTGGGGCAGATTGACAGGGGCTGGAGCCAGCAGGAGTGGGAGGTCGACATGGGGAAATTCGGGAAGTATGATATTTCCGATTTCTTCTTCATCGGTGAACCATCCAGACCAAAGATATAGTAACAGAGTTTTACATTTATGTTCCAAAGAATGGTTAGTATGTTTTAACAATTTGTGTCATGCGCAGTGTTCATGTATCAACGGCCCATGCCCGTAACCAAGGGGGTTCGGGGGGTTCGGAAGAACAAGGCTCAAAGGTCCACTTTTTGGTCCACTTTTTATGTAAAGGTCCACTCTTTGGTCCACTTTTTATGTAAAGGTCCACTCTTTGGTCCACTTTTGATGTAAAGGTCCACTCTTTGGTCCACTTTTTATGTAAAGGTCCAAGATTTTTCTTGAAAAGATGGACTGGAATCGTAGAAAAACTGCTCCCTTTATCATTGAAAAAAATTCATCTCTGATTTTTTTTTCTTGGAAATCCTCTCAAAAACGCACGAAATGCCATTTTAGAAGGTTCATTTTTCAAAATTTCCCGGGGGAGCATGCCCCCGGACCCCCCTAGGAACCTCACGCCTTCGGCGCTCGACTCGCGCCTACGGCACTCGAGGTCCCCTCAAGCAGTGGGAAGAAAATGTTGACTTGATGAATTATTGTCATTTTGTCCCTCAGCCGATGGGTCATAAACTTCTGGGGAGCGTTTTCTTTCATCTTCCTGGGGAGTTACACGGCCAACCTGGCGTCATTCATGGTGGCACAGGACCAGTACTACAACCTGGCGGGGCTGCACGACCAAAGGGTGAGAGGTCACACATCCGGGGTAGTCGCTGAATAGGGGGAGGGGGGTGCTGACACAAACAAGTTTTTAACTAGATTTGCTAATTCTTGCAGTTTCAAACTACCTAAATCAAAAACAAACAGCAACAAGCGAACATTTCTCTACCGCGCCATTAATCTATGGAACACCCTGCCACCCAGTATCAAAACACTGACCAGTCCGCATGAATATTAGGCCATCCACCAGTTGTACATAAGTTAAGTTGTATATATTACGTTAAGTCATGATCGTTTTGTTTAACCTGTATATAATTTGTGATGATAACGTATGTTCTTTCTCTTTTATTTTGTTGTCAGTATGATCATATGTGTAATGTTTTGAACCCTGCAAGACTAGTCGTCTTAGACTATTAAGGGTATCGAAATAAACGAACAAGGCGATACAACACAGTTTTCGCCTTATGGGGATTTCTATAGTTAAGGACCCCAAAGTGACTCACTTCGACTCACTGAAATTCATAGTAGGGTGCACAAGCAAGGTTCAGAATTTTGATCTGCTTAATTGCAGGGTATAGTGTACAAAATATGTGAAAATGAGCTTAAATTTGCCGTGTAGTTCTCTTCTCACGCTCTCTTTTATTAGCGCCACTGCGGAGGTCATGGAACTGCAGCCGACGCACAGTACTAGGCGGGACAAGTATTCAAGCGCAAATCTACGCCGACTGAACACGCACCATAATTTAACTTTTACAGTCTCAAAACTGACGTATTCGTCTAACATTTACTACAGGTTCTATCTCGATGCCATGCACAGAACAATTTCTGCACCCTTCTCTAGTATTTTTTTTTCTTTATTAAAACATTTAGGAGCAAAGTGGACAGGATGACGACACACTCAAGCCGGAGCTTATGTTCATGTCGCCATCTAACATTACAAAAATACAAAAGCAAATGCAAAAACAGACATGCAAAGCTTAATAATAACAGAATAGAATAAATAAGGTTACAATGTGTAAAGTACTCCAGGCAAAACTTACAAAATTGATAGGAAAGAATTACTCAAATCTTTTAGTTTCCTTTATAAATGATTGAACATAAAGTAAAAAATTTAAGTTATTTGGATATGATAGTGATACAGAACCTCTAAGGAATAAATGAACTAAAACATCATCAGAGAGATCAGTGAGGTTTATGTCAAATCCTACCAACTTAGCTAAATTGCTAAAAAGGGAGGCACGATATTGTGTACATTCTCTAGTATTGTGCAGCACTACTTTGTGCTCGGACTACTTTCCATAAATACTGTGTTGTGCGGCCACAAACAAAACTTTTATTGGATATAACTTGTGATTCTATCTCATGAAAGGTTCAACAAATAGGGAGTTGGCGCCGAATCATGTATTGGGTATTACTAACTATAAAAACGCTAATATGATCCTAAGAGTTGAAAAATACACGAGGCCTTTAAATTCAGTACTATTCAGTTGCTACTGTTTATATGCGTTTTCAACAATATCACCATGACAAAAATCAAGATCATTTACATCTTTCTATATCTGTTATGCCACAGCAAGTAAATTTCATGGATAACATCCTCCGTAGATTCCAAATCTAATGCAAGCGGGCAAAAAAACAAGGCGGGCCGAAAAAAACAAAGTTCCTACAATTTAAAATTTTGACTCAATCATTGTACAAATGGTTTTGATTCAGTAGGAACATCACATATACACAGCCAGCATCACATATCACTGCGTCAAAGTAAGAAACAAAACATTAAATCAGAGCTGTCTCCTCTCTTCATAGTTATCTGGCATCCACCTTCCGACATGGCAACAGACCATTTTCGGCATGTTGACCACTGTCAGAAGGCAACAAAATTTCTTTCTTTTTTTTTTTGCAAAATCAGGCGAACATGAATGCGCGCACTGAAGTCATCCATACAAATTACTGGCTGTGGCCTTAGGTAGCAAGTAAATATTCTGCGTCACAAGCTGCTAATGTATTCTGCAGTAGTATCCCAGTCAGGCGTGTTGTGAATGGTAAATCCTTGGGCAATGACATATCTAGGTTTTAAATTGCAGCGCCATCTTCCAAACAGCCCATTTTGCAGGCGATCCCTCCGGTAAATGTGTTCAGTCGGCTGGAAGTACCTAACGTGACGCTCGTTCAGGGCATACAAATGAAGGGGCAAGTTCTCATGAAAGTTCATCGTCTTTTCTATATTCCAGCATGTAATCACAAGACGTGGTGACGGCACACTCAAGTTTTTTTTTTACTGATATTAATGCCGCTACCGATACAGGGGACAATACAATACTCAATTTCTCCTGATCCAAGTGAAGAAAGTCGTGTTAAGAAGGGCACAAGATCGGTGGCATGTCAGGACTCGAACCCGGGACCTCTTGGTTCCGAGTCTAGCACTCTGCCGCTACGCCACAACATAACACGACCCTACGATAGTTCATCAGCGTTGGTAGTACTCATAGTAAAATTTGGAACTTTATTCCTATACAAGGAATACACTGAAATCAGATTTTAACGACCACTGTTGCCTTCATCAGGATAATTAATGACCAATCATTTCAAAACGTAATCTCGCGAGAGTTATGGTTACAGACACGTGACCTTATTCCCACGAGACTTTACGGATACGTGACGCCAGCAATTGATCAAAAGTGCCAGGGAGTTTATATCGTCCATCGTCTCTGTTAAGTGATGGCTGAAGTGCCTTGACATAAATGCCCTGATGTCCTGCTGGCATTCCTGACACAATATTTTTCAATATATTCATGTCTTAATTAGATTTAAAAAAAACTAATTTTTTTTGCCCTGCAGTGGCATAGTTACTTCCGCATTCGTTGCGTTTCGCTGCGGTGTAATCCGTTGCACGAGAAATACCCCCAAATCGTACCTATGCAGGGTGTTATATAGATGGTACTGAATGTGCCGCGCAACATATGTTGCGCACAGCAGGACAAGGGTTAAAACGTAGTCCTGTTCAGTGCCCAGTATTCTAACTTTGTCCAAAGGGGAAAGTTCATTTTCTTCGAGGCGTGGCCTATATTTGGGGGGAATGGATCTGAAAAAAACTATTAGGCCATGTTGATTTGATTATATGGATGACATCCGCGCGCGCATGAATTTTCGGCCGTTTCCAAAAAAAAAGTTTTCAACCATACTGTAAATCGTACAAAACAGTTGCAAAATGAGCAAAAATATACCATAAGTTACAAAAAAAATTAATAAAAACTATACCACTGTCGTAGAATGCCAAAATCAAACGAAAAAAGACGAAATTGTAAAGAAATGAACTTGAAGACTAGATTATTCGCCAAACCATATTCTGTGCCATTTGCTCAACCCTCATGACCACGTAGATTTCATAATGAAAAGAACTTTTTTTTTTGCAAAACTTTTTTTATTCGCACGCGCGCATCAGATTTGGGGCTCCCGGAGGATGTCATCCATATAATCAAATCAACATGGCTTTATCAGGTACGCGACGGCTTGCATTTGCATACCGTGCAGCGGTTGGTTGCAAATTAGAATTCATGACTAAATATAAGAAGAAGTTAGCGGCCCAGTATGATTAGGTGGTATGCATACTCGTTTACAACTTAAACATTCGAATTCTGCTTGGAAACAAAAGATAGATAAAGGTGCTTTCTTTGACTGGAATGACTAGACTTGAGGATCCGGCCAGTACAAATTTCACTGATGTGATTCACGCAAATTCCGGTAGGTGGCGCTGCCAAACAAGGCCGTTTGTGTGTTTTGCCATATGTAGTCAGGCTCTCATACCTTCTTCCTACACCCATCAGTTGATTAGCGGTCCGCTGCTCTACGGCGTTGCCAGAGGGACGAGTATAGAGACGTATCTGGAGGAGAGAACTCTCCTGACGAAAAAGAAGGACCGCTTCATTCCAACGAATATCACGGAGGGGGGAATCCGCCAGCTCAAGTAAGTAGAAACCAGGAGTGCCAGGTTATACATTGCAATTTTACGGAATACAGTGCAATTTTACGGAATACAGTGCAATTTTACTAGTATACAGTGCAATCTTACGGAATACAGTGCAATTTTACTAGTATACAGTGCAATTTTACGGAATACAGTGCAATTTTACTAGTATACAGTGCAATTTTACGGAATACAGTGCAATTTTACTAGACTATACAGTGCAATTTTATGGAATATAGTGCAATTTTACTAGTATACAGTGCAATTTTACGGAATACAGTGCAATTTTACTAGTATACAGTGCAATTTTACGGAATACAGTGCAATTTTACTAGTATACATTTCAATTTTACGGAAAACAGTGCAATTTTACTAGTATACAGTTGCAGTGCAATTTTACGGAATACAGTGCAATTTGACTAGTATATCGTATCGTATATCAATGAAAAGTGCGCTAGAGAATTACTTTTACTTCGTACAAGTGACAAACAATGAGTTAACACCCCTCTAACTCATTTTTTCACTAGTATTATATTCAAATTGAACATCTTACTAGTGAAGATTATGACTGTTTCTTCGCCGATCGTTAACTGAAAGTCTGTGCCGAATCTTTTCCACAGAAAAGGCGAGATCGATGCTTTTTTCGCCGGTTCCAATCTGTTGGAGTATCACATCGCTAACGACCCTGAGTGTGAGATAGTCAAAGTCGGGAATGTGGCCGCCGCGGAGGGATACGCCTTTGGGGTTCGAAAAGGTGAGCAGGCGAAGCGAAACATGATTGGTCAAAAGTTACCTTCACTGACATCAAAAGTGCAATAGTTAAGAGATTGGGCAAGATATTTCCTTTCTATTGAACCTCTGTGCCATGCACATAGGTTTGCTTAATATATATATAGGTTTGGCACTATAAGATACATGTACATAACACATACAATAACAAAGATTCTGTCTTTCATTCATTTCATTGTCATTTGTCTTTCCACAACTTTTGATACTAAAAGGTTCATGTCAGAAGGGTTAGTTATGTTTACCTTTGCAGAAGGAAAACATATTATTTTTTGTTCAGTTTCTTCTTTTTCCTCTTCTTCCTCTTCTTCTTCTGTTCCAAACAGATAAAGTCAATGACCTGGACCAGACGTCTGTCACCATGGTAACTTGTGCTGTAGCAACACCCTGTGGTGTTGGGTTACATTATGTAAGAGAACAGAGCTGGCGACTTTTTGAGTAAGAATAATCGGTGCGGTAGTTTGTTATGCTAGACCAGGTGAAGGTAAACATTATGCATTTGCTTTGCAAATGTTACCTATCTAGTTCCCTAATGTCTTCTGTGATTTAGGCCACACCAATTCAATTTGTTAGTTCTCGGATTTTTCCAGAAAAAAATATGAAAGGACTGGGTGTAAAAAATAAAAATAAAAACAGAGTTAGGCACCCTGTTATAGCCCCAAATGCAATGATAGGAGCCATGGAGTCAAGACAAAGTCCTGGGTTAATATTTAAACAATGAATGAATTTTGAACTTTTTATCAAACCACTGCATTGATAAATGGGAAAACTGTAAAAACTAGAAAGCAAAATATGAGTATTTTTTAGCTGATTAAATTTTTTTATTTTTTTGCAAATTAGAAAAGTATGAAGAGGCGAAACCGAGAACCAACAAATTAATTTGGTGTGGCCTTAGTACTTTGCTGATGTTTGGCGTCACCTTTCCCCAGGCTCTGCCCTGAAGGACCCTGTGTCGTCCCTGATCCTGCACTACTCCAGTAACGGTTATCTGGACGAGCTGACACAGAAGTGGTACTCTACAGGGAGCTGCCACAAGAAGAAGCGGGATCCAAACGTACGTACACGTCTAGATCTGTCCTAAGCTAACTAAGGCCATGTTGATTTGATTATATGGATGACATCCGCGCGCGCATGGATTTTCGGCCGTTTCCAAAAAAAAAAAAAATTTCAACCATACTGTAAATCGTACAAAACAGTTGCAAAATGAGCAAAAATACACCGTAAGTTACAAAAAAAATAAATACAAACTATACCAATGTCGTAAAATGCCAAAATCAAACAAAAAAGACTAAATTGTAAAATTGTAAAGATATGAACTTGAAGACTAGATTATTCGCCAAACCATATTCTGTCCCATTTTTTCAACCCTCATGACCACGTCGATTTCATAACTTTTTTTTTTTGCAAAACTTTTTTTTATTCGCACGCGCGCATCATTTTAGGGGTTCCTGGAGGATGTCATCCATATAATCAAATCAACATGGCCTAAGGCCACAGCAAATAATTTTTATGGATGATATCAGCGCGCGCATTAATTTTCGCCTGATTTTGGAAAAAATAAAAGTGATGCATTTTATTTCTTTTATATGTGATGTTCAATAAATCAAAACCATTTGTACAATGACTAAAAAAATTGGTCAATGCAAATGGATGTTGTTATAGTAACATTTGACAGTAAACTTAGTACTACTGTACTCTCGTAATACTAGCCTGGATGCCAGACCCCTAGCACATATTACTATGGTCCCAGTGTGCTATGGGTCTGGCATCCAGGCTATCGTAATACTTGATCAAACTCTTGAAATTTAAATCATGTTATTTTCTAGGAGTGAAAGTTTATAGAAAGCTCGTGTCTTGTTTGTTTCTTATAGGAAGAAAAGCGCCAGCTGGGGGTTAAGCACGCAGAGGGTTTGGCCCTTTTCATGATCGGTGGGATCGGTCTGTCTATGATCGTACTGGTGCTGGAGTACGCCGTGTACTTCTGCGTCCTGCCCTGCCTGAAGAGACGGAGATGTAAGAGGTGGATGCCCGTCAGCCAGGTAAGAACGTCTGGGATTGGTCTATCAGTCAGTCAGGTTAGAACGTCTGTGATTGGTCTATCAGTCTGTCAGGTTAGAACGTCTGTGATTGGTCTATCAGTCAGCCAGGTTAGTTATAACGTCTGTGATTGGTCTATCAGTCTGTCAGGTTAGAACGTCTGTGATTGGTCTATCAGTCAGTCAGTTTAGAATGTTTGTGATTGGTGTTACAGTCGGCCAGGTAAGAACGTCTGTGATTGGTCTAAAAGTTAGTCAGTTTAGAACGTCTGTGATTGGTCTATCAGTCCGTCAGGTTAGAACGTTTGTGAATGGTCTATCAGTCAGCCAGGTAAGAACGTCTGTGATTGGTCTATCAGTCAGCCAGGTGAGGACGTTTGTGATTGGTCTAAAAGTCAGTCAGGTTAGTTATAACGTCTGTGATTGGTCTATCAGTCTGTCAGGTTAAAACGTTTTTGATTGGTCTATCAGTCAGCCAGACTAGAACGTTTCTGATTGGTCTCTCAGTCAGTCAGGTAAGGAAGTTTCTGATTGGTCTATCAGTCAGCCATTTTAGAACGTTTCTGATTGTTCTATATATGCAAAGCACTAAGTATTTTGGCTACGCCTCGGGAGTGGAGTCAACAGTACACTATTGTGTTTTGTTTCCTCAGAGACTCCATCGCGCGGTGAACAAGGACGACTTGGCGGGGCCAAAGTCTGCTCTTAAAGAAATGGCCAACATCGTGAAGAGGGGCCAGTTTTACCTCATGTTCGAGAAGGACACTTTAGTGAGTATTTCATTGTCTTGTGGATTGCATCATGTTAGCAATGTCCCGCTTATAAAGTGTGTCAGTACTGTACATAATTTCAATCTAATGTGAATTTAGAACGATTCAGAAACATCCCATATGTACCCTCACATTAAAAAGTTACACAGGAACACGTCAGCAAAATGTACTTTGCCTGCGCGAAACCCTGATATTGCACGGTTTTTGTAAGATGTTTGGTCAACGTTACATCAGAATTTTGTCCGTTGCAGACGATATCTTTTCGACATAACATTTGGAAACTACAGACGGAATGATAATCTTATATACGCGAATACGACCTTATATGAGACGTTCTGAAGAAGTGCTATGCACAGGGAAATTACATACGACGTCTTTATTGGTTTTCCAACCGCAAACATACATATGCAGGGAAAGACAAAAGTCTCCCTGCAGTGGGTAGTTTGTTACAATCAACACATAATACAATACAATCGATGAACAATAAACAGTAGTAAAATACAGCATAAAGATAACAAAATTGGACGCAGATACAACATGGGGTAGCTTATGAAACAGACTCGTTGTACAATTTGGTCATATTCTGTTCAGACAACATGAAACTGATGTTTCTGTATTTTTTTGCAGATCAAACTCAGGCAGCAGCGAGCTCCCTCCTTCGCGCCTCAAAACCAACAGTAAGTATCAATGGTTGGACGATTATCAATGAATTTTTTTTATTTTTTCAAACAGAAAATTACGACTGTTTGTTTGTCTGTTTGCTTGTTTGTTTGTTTGTTTGTTTGGGCCATTATTTATACTCCATAATATATGTACATATGTGTTACCCCATCCGCTTTTCGTGGGGGTCGAGTTGGGAGGAGAGTCCAGGGGTCATAATATTAATAATGATAACTATGATAATAATAATAGTACAAACATTTGTTGAATTAACAAAAACAATAATACAAATCATAAATAAACGAATACATATATGAATTATTTGTCACTTTATTCTTATTACATAATTCGTGATGCTACATACAATGGTTACGCAAATTATATTTCTGTTCATCCGGTGCTTATAGAATTTTGTATAAGCTGAAGAGTAAGTAAAATTTTCTATCCCAACACGCAATGTCATTCCAACAAGAACTAAATGGATTCGATAACTAGATATTTTGGCGACGCCTCAGGGACGGCGCCGACTAGTACCTTCTACCGATTGAGTACAAATAGCTCGTATACTAAAGTCTAATCTCCATATCTGCACATGTCTCCCATGCAGAACCCAGAGGCGGGACGTCAGCGTCCAGACGCCTGCCAAGGTGGAGTGTTTTGATGTCCGGACGTACTCAACGGAACGGAAGATCTTTCCGGACGCCTGTTCGGACGGTTCCGGATCCTACGACATGTCTACGTCGGACGAGGAAAAGAACATGGAGTCCAAGAAAATTTCCGCTGCGGACATGGGCGATTCCAAGGGGACGAGGCTCGACTTTAGCGTCGGGCATGACGTTTTCCCGACGGCCATGCTACACCACGATGGCTGCGGGACGCTACACAAGTGTTACACTCCGGGCGGAGACCTCAAACTCACCCCAAACGGAAACATCTTTGCGCGGAGTCCTCAGTACGA